ATATTGGTGCGTCGTGTGAAATTATATACTGCGTCGTTTGTTTATAAATAACCGTCGTGTGTTTTCTTGTGCTGACTTTTTTGTATGTCTTTGTTTCAGGATGAATTGCAAAAACAAGTAGCTGAAGGCAGTCTGAGTATAACTGGCAGTAATGATGTGTTGACCTTGGCTTTGGGTCCCGAGCATCCAGGGAGAGTAAGAGGGGTAGGTGCTGGGATTTCCCCTAGGCAATTCTTCAATTTACCTAGACCACAAAGGGTGAAGTTTGCTGATCAATTGAAGGAAAGTGTAAGAATTGTCCTTCAAGAAGAGACTAAGAAGATGGAAGCTAGAACCAAACAATTAGTAGAGGCTGAGAGGGAACATTTACTAAGTCAGCTTTCCCAACTCATCCCCAATTTTGATCCAAGCATGCTTAAACCGAAAACAAGTCCCATGAATCCAATGTCTGATAAAGCAAGCTGTTCTGGGGCTGAAGTGAGATCCCTACATTTAGAGGATGATACTGCCAGAAATGGGGAACAGCAAGAACAAACGGTAACATAACTGAACTTTGAATTCCCTGTTTTTTTTTAACATTAGACGTCGTTATTATGAATAAACCCGTCGTTTTAAAACCATACCACGACGATTTTGTAAATAACCCGTCGTGTTTATTTAAATACCACGTCGTATTTAGTTTACTTGTTTTACACGCCATTAGACGTCGTACTTTGTGGCTTTTAGACGACGGTTTTTGTCCTCAACGACGTGATATAAAATTACCACGACGTTTATTATTTACCATCGTTTAATAATTTTAAGACGTCCATAATTCTTACATACCGTCTTATGTTATGCCTTACCACGACGTTTTGGTTTAATTTTTTTACTCTCTGTACAATCTGTCTTATATATATATTTCTTTATTATTTAAAACAGAAATCTGGGGCTTTAGATAATCAAGATGAAGAGAAGAGAGAAGAAAATAAAGATGAACAGAAGATGGGAGAAACAATTGATGAAGGGAAGAAGGAAGAAGAAAAAGAGAATAAAGATGAAGGCAAAGAGGAAGACACAAATGTTGAAGAGAAGAAAGAAGAAAAACAAGATGAAGAAAAGCATGACGAGGAGGTATATTCTCATAACTTTGCCTTTTTAATTTGTTTTTCACATTTCAGACGTCAATATTTTACTTTAAACCGTCGTTTGTTTTAACATTAGACGTCGGAATTTATTTTCTACGACGTAATAAATAATCTAAAACGACGGTATTTAATTACCGTCGTTTAAATTATAATCAGACGACGTTGTTTAATTTAAGCCGTCGTTTTTAATGAATTACCACAACAATTTATTTTGCTTTATTTCTTTAAACAGGGTGATGAAGTACTCGATTATTCAAATGTGGAGGTGCCATCTTCCTTACAATCCCTTTGTGGTTATGTGGAAACTACACTAAAGCCACAGGGGAAGATCATGACTTTCAACATTGAGAAGGAGGTGTTTGGTGCAGATCGAAGTACCTTCGTCTTGCATGAAGATATTACACAATTTGCAGGCATGGAAGAAATTGGGGCTACTGTGGTTGCAGTATATATGAGGTTTGTCCTAATCAAATATCAAACATTATATCATAAGACGTCGGTTGTTTAATTATTGCGTCGTTTTAAATCACTAACCACGTCGTTCTTTTTTACCGTCGTGATAAATTAGTTATCACGTCTGTTTCTATTTCAGTTCGTCGTGTGAAATTATATAATACGTCGTTTGTGTATAAATAACCGTCGTTTGTTTTATATATTTAGGTGCTTATATGATCTTTTGAGAGAAGCAAATATGTGCAGCATGGTTGGCTTTATCGACCCTGCTCAAGTTAGTGCCAACGCTGGGTCACTAACTGACAGATCACGAATTGTAGCCAGTCGACTTCAAAAAACAGATGGTGAACAGATTTTCATGATGCCTTACAATCCAGGGTTAGTCTCCTTAAAAGGATTTTGTTTGTATGATTTTCACTAATTGACCACTTATAAAACTGTTTAACTAATTCTGTGTCGTTTGAAACATCTAACCACGTCGGTTATTTATTTATTGAGTCGTTTGAAACAACTAACCACGTCGGTAGTTAATTATCGTCGTGATAAATTTATAATAACGTCGATGATTAAGTTATTACGTCGTGTGAAACTATATAATACGTCGGTTTTTATATTAACCGTCGTTTTTTATTTTATTTTTGTGCAGCCGTCATTGGGTCTTGCTGATTGTGAGGGCAAAGAGGGAAACCGTCTATTTTCTGGATCCTCTGCCTGGAAATCGTGTGGTTGATGAGGAGGGCAAAAACATCGTGAACAGTGCTTTAAAAATTTATAATTCCCACATAGGCAGACCAGGCCGTAAAGCACCAATCTGGAAAACTCTGCCAGGCACACCAAAGCAACCCAGCAGTGTCGAATGCGGGTATTATGTGATGCGCTTCATGAGGGACATCATCATGGATCCTTCCTTGGAGTTTGAGAAGAAGGTAAGAAAAAAAATTTCAGAAACATTTTATTTGGTTTTTGTATTATCAACGACGGTCATTTAAAATTACCGTCGTTGAATCGATAGACTACGTCGGTTATGAAAAAAAAACGTCGTCTGTGTCTGAATTTCTTTTTATTTTGTAAAGCTTAATAATCATTGTTTATGGATTGCAGTTTGCCAAGGGAAAAGATCAAGCGCCATACCCCCAAGCAGCCATTGATGAAGTCAGGAAAGAATGGGCAGAGTTTGTTTGCCTTCATATGGAATAGAGGATTTTTGGAACACATGATATTTTTATATGTACTAATTTTGTCTATAATATATAATGTACAAATTTTGTCTATAATATACATCCTTTTTTTCCCTGAAAATTTGCTGAGGTTTTCATAATATAAAAGAAAAAACAAATTGCGTAACCGACGTGTAATAACTTTCCAACGACATAATTATGTAAAAAACCGACGTAAAATGATATTTAGACGTGATGGGACGTACATAAGACGTCGTTTTGATGACAATTTCGCCATGGTTTCGCTTTTAAACGACGTCCTTTT